AAAATTATTTCTCACGCTTTGTTGTGACCTTATCCTTGATCCAACAAAGATCCCTATTGGATGCACAATTTCAATATCTACAACTTTTGTAACATGTGTCATGGCCTTTTTTAAGAGACTTTAGCTCAAAGTTGAAAAAAGTTGGGATAGAACATATTTTTTATCTAAATTATTAACTTTAAAAAGAAATAATTGCCTCAAAACACAAAATATATAATTAAAATATGATATTTTCCTGTATGGAATTTCACTGTGAGTATTTTAAAAGCGTTCGCACTGGTGTAGATAGCATGGTATTTTCATAACATAGTTTTAAGTAAAAGCTTACACTGTAAATTACGTTTTATGCCATTTTCCAAGATGGCGGCTATTGCCCAAGGGTACCAAAAAAGTACCCGGTGGTTTTATGGTCTACACACCCTAAATAACTCAAATCAACAATAAAATAAACTTAATAGAACAAAACCAGGTTAGGGGCAAAATCCTCATTTGGCTGCCGGACTTATCAAAATTTATTTTAATGTATTATTATTTTTCAAAAGCTAATTTTTTAGTGTTTTCTACAAATGTTTCCCACTCATAGCCGCATTAGGATGTCCATAACAAGTATTATAAATAATAAAAAGAATTATTTCCACTTTTTTTACTTGGTAATGTTCTATAAATTTCCTATGTTTCCATAGTTTGCAAATCGGCTCTTTCAATAATATAATTTGCACAGGGTTAATTTTAATTTTTTTGTATATTAAATTGACCAGGCTTTCTCGCTTTTTTTTCCATTGTAATATTTACGAAAACCCAAATCCAAATAGTAAACACTAGCAGAGTACCCGTCCTTCGTACGGGGTTGGTATATAAGTATAAAATGCTTATTGCAGTTATACTCAAGCTTTGCGTTTGCAATAAGGGAGGACACAGTTTGATAAAATTTGCTTTTTTAAATGTACAGTATTCTATAGTATTACACATCTACCATAGCCATAATGTTCTACCACTTCACCTAAACAATAGAGAAAAATAAACTATCAACAATTCGCAAAATATCACAAATTATTCATGAAATGAAAAACATAAACATAACTGTAAACAATCCTACTTTGACAGTTCTCATTGCGAATCACAGTTTTTTGTTGCTGCTTAGTTCAAGTTAGCTGTTTTCATAAATGCAAAAAAAATAAAATGCTGCACCCTGTTGGTAAATCTTATAACTTTTTAATGCTTTTCCATATCATAGAACCAACTTTTTTAGTTGAAACAGCTGACTAAATTCTTTAATTCCCTTTAAATATGAATACTCATAAGGTTAACATGAGGAATTACAGAGCCACTGGGGCGGAGCCCGAAAGGATTTTTGAGATAAGAATATGCCTATATGTTAATCGGGAATGTAAGCTATCATCATGCCAAATTTCAGCCCAATCCATCCAGTGGTTTATGTGTGATTGAACTTCAAACACACAAACACACAAACAAACAAACAAACAAACAAACACACAAACAAACACACAAACTTTCACATTTATATTATAATATTAGTAAGATTTCACTTCAACCAAGTATTTTGTAACACAGTGACTTTTCCTTGAATTGCAACAAAAATATTAACAGCTTATTTAATTATTTAGCTGATCATAATGTAAACAAATATGTTCAACGTGGGTACTTTAAAAGCCACTGGGGCAGAGTGCAAGGGACTTTTTGAAATTTAAGTTCAGTTTGCAAATCTACGCCCCTAAACAAACATTTTGGTATATAATATGTGGGATTAAATCTTAAACTAAAAATGCATTATTGTTCACACATTTGCACGTAGCGTATTAATAATATAGATATATGCTATCTGACATTTGATACTATTTGATTTTTAGTGTATACTAAAAATCCTTATGTTGACCAAAGGATAATTCAAGATTCGATCCTGAACCCTCCATTTTTGGAACAAACTGTGATTGGATCTTACTTTTTACAAATTGCATTAACATTTTCAAAATCTGTTTAAAACTCTATGAGGGGTTCTGTTCACAAATTAACCCCTTCCAAATTAATTATGTACATAGGCTAGATAACACTGATAATTATGGATTATATGTACGAATTATAGTAAAAAGAAAAAACTGACTTTAAAAATACTAGCTATTGGCAAGCTACATTTTAGTTGGATTCATTATTTATTAAATAGCCTAACTATAACTACATTTATAACTAAACTTTTCCTTAACTATGTTAAACACACATATTTGGTTCTGGTATTTTTGGGAGGGATACCTGAAGTGTGGAAGTCTAAGCTATTTAAAAAAAAATACTTCCCGCTATAAATACAGTGTTGTATTCTACGAATTAATAGTCTCTAAATTACAGACGAATTCTATTATTAATCAATACTCCATGAAAATAGTGGATACTATACTTAGAATTATTATGTTCTCTTGCAAACTTTTAAGTTCTACGTATTAAATATTCTGCGAACGACAGGTAGATTTAAATGTGTTACTTTTCAAAACAATGGGCGACCGTTCATTGAATAACTTGAAAAACAATGGGCGACCGTTCATTGAATAACTTGACTACTTCAATGTCAATTTAGTTATTTAAAATCAGCAGTGTGAAATCATGAAATAAAGTGAATGTGACACTGTTGCTTGTTTCCCGTCAACACAAACGTAAACAGTGTGAACTATTTTCCGTTTATTTCTAAAGAAACTAACCAATATTTACTTTATAAAACTATTTTTACGGGAAAGAGTCATTCCCCAATATCAAATCAGGAATATTCTCAATGCGTTTATTTAACCATAAAATCCAGATAATCTTTTTTAATGGATATTATATACAACATTTATTGGTCAATGTTTACAATTTAAGAATTAGGAAATGTGAAAATATGTTTGTCAAGTGTGTAATGTATTATGATGTTGCGTGGTTAAAGCATGCTCATATTATTACGAGTTGATTCCTTACTTAATTATTTACTTATATTACTATAAACATTTTATTTCATTTCCACGTGTTTCAAATACATTTTGTACGTTGACGGAAAAAAACTATATGTAACTAGCAGAGTATCCGTCCTTCGTACGGGGTTGGCGTATAAGTATAAAATGCTTATTGCAGTAAAGTTATACTCGAGCTTTGCGTTTGCAATGGGGGAGGACACAGTTTGATAAAATTTGCTTACTTAAATTTACGGTATAGGTATACTATAGTATTACACATCTACGATAGCCATAATGTTCTACCGCTTCACCTAAAAAAAAAAAAAAAAAACAAATTACGATAAATTTGTAAACTATCACAAATTATTCATGAAATTAAAAACATAAACATAACTGTAAACAATCCTACTTGTACAGTTCTCATTGCGTATCACAGTTGTTCGTTGCTGCTTAGTTTAATTGCTGTTTTTATGCATGACAAAAATAATAGTGCTGCAACCTGTTGGTAAATCTTATAACTTTTTAATGCTTTTGCATATCATAGAACCAACTTTGTTAGTTGTAACAGCTGACTAAATTCTTTAATTCCCTTTAAATATGAATACTCATAAGGTTAACATGGGGAACTACAGAGCCACTGGGGCGGAGCCCGAAAGGGTTTTCGAAATAAGAATATGCATATATGTGATTCGGGAATGTGAGCTATTATCATATCAATTTTAGCCCAATCCGTCCAGTAGTTAATGCGTGATTGAACTTCAAACAAACAAAAAAAAACAAACAAACACACAAACTTTCACATTTATAATATTAGTAAGATTTATTCATTTGATGTATAAAATTAACGGGAAATGTCTAGAGAAAGCACAATATTGAAGTGTTAATTTGTATTTATCTTAATATCGACAAAATTTGCGTAATAATATAAAATCCTTCCCATTCATGCAAGTTAAAATCCTTCACATTCACGAGAGTTCAGTCGAGCGGTGGTAATATGGGACAGTCTCCACCCTTGTAAACAATAGCTGGCTCGAGTCACGAGCCCAAGCCCTACAGCAGGTATAACGGGGGTGATCATGGCAGGGGGGGACCTTTCCGGGGTGTGCATTTTGAAAACGATCGGGGTAACGTATCCGGTTAACATAAATTGTAATTAGAAAATCTGGTAATTGTATATGATAAGTGGATATAATTATCTAATTAATACGCAAACTCTAAAATAACTCGTCATATCGACGAGTGCATGCTGCAACTGAAATTGAGTGTCCGCGGCCGGAAACATCACCCCCCGGTCTCTGACGTCATATGACGTAGGTGGGTGATGTTTCCGGGGACGACCTTTCCGCGTCCCCCACTGGAGTCCCATACCAGAACTTTTCACTGTTTTTTCACACACCTTGCACAAAGCTAGACCATTATCCACCGCCATGACACCGGAAGTCAAATTACTCACATCAAATTACTGTACAGTAGGTGGAAAGTAGTTCCCTGGTTTAAGAATGAATTTTGGTAAACTGTTTAAATAATGATGTGGGAAGGTGTAACCCTTTCTTGGAAATTCAAACATGCACTGCTCCAGGATCAGTCATGTGAATGTTATCCTAACATAACACTTTTAAAAACATAATTTTAAACAAGTTAAACATAGGCCTATAATAATACACCACTGGTTCAGTGAAGGAGAATGTAGATGATAGTTGTAGCATAAGTGTGATGTGAGTTAGTGGCGACTTTGACTTGAAACAATGAAATAAAGTGGGCCATTTCTTCCCCTCAGCCTTAAAAACATCCCACATTTTTTCTTTGATCCTCTTCAACCCTGTGGGCGTACGTGACGTGTTGAGTTAATTTGATCACAGTACCACTATCTCAATGAATCTGGGAGATTTGGCTTACAAACATTGGATGTGTGGTCGTAAGACTTTGAAGAGCTGCATAAATATTATGGTAAGAAACTGAATGCTCACAATAATCACTATGGTAAGCATATGCAATTTAAATTCAGATAATTTAATAATTTTTAATCCATTAAAATTATTGTTTGAATTTATTTGGTTTTTGTTTTAGGGAGTTGATCCTGAAGCCTTAGACTTTATACTAAAGACTTTAAATGGAAATGAAGTTGATTTTACCAGAGCAAGTAATGTATTACATATATTGGAAACCACCTGTATGTTACAGTTTGGTAGGCTGCAAAATGAATGCATTCAATTTATAGTATGTTCATGGTTGAATAAGGAGACATGGCTGATCACTGCAAATTTAGCTGACAAATTGGGGTTGACCGATTTAAAAAAAAAGACTCAGACATTAGCTTTATGGAATTTTAGCGAAGTCAGAAAGACAGAACACTTTTTATACCTTACAGCAGATGAAGTTTTTGATTATTTAAGTGATGATAGGCTTAGAACCACAGTGGGGGAATTTGAGGTTTTTGAAGCCGGAGTAAACTGGATTGAATACAGTCCAGAAGATAGGCTGTTCTTTTCACTCTTGTTATTAAGAACTGTTCGGTTTAAGGATCTAAAACCATTCGATATTAGAAACATGTTACATTACTCAAGTGTGAAGGACACTCCACAAGCAGAAATAATAATCCAATGCATCCTTGAAATGAAAGATGGCTTATTAAATCAAAGTTGTGAAGCTTGTAACACGCCAGAATTTGAGGAGCAAAGTACTACAGATTCAGAAAAGACTTCACCTATGCCTACAGCAATATTTTTTAAAAATTTGAAGAGGAAACGTAGAACAACATCTCACTGTACATGTTTTGATGATACAACAGTCAAAACTTGTCACGAATTCTTAGATAAAGAACCTCGCTGTCTTCCATTGATTCCTTGTGTCGCAGCAAGCTTTCCTTTTAAGTCTACTACACCAGATGAGTCTCCACGACTGAAGTTGAGGAGAAAGAATAAGTGGCCTTATATTTTTCATTGGGATGGTGAAAATCTTGTGCCTTTTATACATCTATCTAAAATTGACGAGGGTCCTGCAGAAGCTATGGGATACAAAGTGTCAGTAAAAGGTATGGCTTACAGCTTACGAGCTATTTGATCTGATATCTATCTATATATAACTCAAACGAGCTGCACTTTAGTTTACGTCCTACACTCATTCGAATGAATATACAGGGTGGTAATAAAGTCCGAAGACAGTTAAATATTTAAAAAAATAATGTAGATAGAGCTACAATAAATACTTCGTACAAAGTTGCAAGGCATTAAACTCTATTTTAACACATATTCAGTGATCCAATAACTCTTCAGGGGGACGGCCCACAAGGAGTTGGAAGAAAATCTAAATGGAAGCATAGGTCAATATGCACATAAAATTAAAGGTATTTTTTAGTAGAATATGTTAGAATGTTGAATGATGTTTTATATTGTATGTAGAATACAATTCCGCAAACTGCAAACTTATTACCACCCTATGTTACAAACTAATTTTTTTTAAGGTTATTGCTGACTTTCATCATCTAACAGGGCATGGCCCATGATGAGTCAGTAGGTAATCTTAACAACATCTCGCTGTACATGTTTTGATGATACAACAGTTAAAACTTGTCACGAATTCTTAGATAAAGAACCTCGCTGTCTTCCATTGATTCCTTGTGTCGCAGAAAGCTTTGGGTAAGCTTGTGGGTAAGCATAATGTTGATATTGACATCATTTTAAAGGACATTTTAAGCAAAGAAGAATGTTGTATACCGCACTTCAAAAGGACCATCCGTTAAAAAATAACAGTTTTAAAGATTTAAAATAGTGTTTTAATTTAAAGAAATTGGCTAATTTTGAAAATCTTTGAACATCTGCCATCTTTGAACATAGGGCTTGTTTAACTTTCAGCGATAATTCTGAATCATTTTTACATTTGACAACTGCAGTTGTATCGTCGGCATATAAGATAAGGTTGTTAGAGACATTTTTAGGCAAGTCATTTATATACAAAATAAAGAGTAAAGGTCCAAGAATCGAGCCTTGAGGAACACCTACTGTAATCTTTTCCCATTCTGATATTGATTTGTCATTATTTTTAAAATCATTGTTTTTTGAAAACTGCTTTTAAGTATGAAGTCAACCATAAGACAGATTTTTTTTTGAAAAGTTATAAATATTTAGCTTTATCAAAAGGTTATCATGGTTGACACAGTCAAATGCCTTGGATACAGTGGTGTAGCCAGGATTTCAGTTGGGACGATGTCGAAGTTGGACAACGTTAAACGTGGACTACGTTAAAAGCAGACACCGCCTCAATCAGACAACGATAAAAGCAGACAACGACGAACATGGACACATTCAAATGTGTCCAAGCTTAACGTTGCACGCAAACGACGAACCTGGACACATTTATAAGTTGTCCAGGGGTGGCGTTGCACGACACGACGAATCTGGACACATTCAAATGTGTCCAAGTTTAAAGTTGCATGCAAACGACGAACCTGGACAAGTTTTTAAGTTGTCCAGGGTTGTCGTTTGCGTGCAACGTTACCCTTGGACACATTCAAATGTGTCCAAGTTTAACGTTGCATGCAAACGACGAACCTGGACAAGTTTTTAAGTTGTCCAGGGGTGGCGTTGCACGACACGACGAAACTGGACACATTCAGAAGTGTCCAAGGGTAACGTTGCACGCAAACGACGAACCTGGACACTTTTAGTTTTTGAATAGACTGTACACCAGGCTCATCAAATTCTCAGTCTCGCTCGGTTGGTAAACTCTGAATGAGCTTCCTAAAACAGAAATGCCGTGAATACGCCTTATTGTTACAAGGCTTCTTTCTAACACACTGTTACTAATACACTGTGTTGTAGTGACTCATAGTCCGCGAAACACATTGTACATTATAAATTCGGAAATTTAATTGCATGTTTATTTGGTCGTTGTAAATGTTTGCTGGATATTAATAAAAAATTAAAACCTATGGGACCTGGATACACCGTGTCCCAAACGGACGGTTCAAATCTACAGCTTTTGTTCAATATACGTGTTGCTAAATGTCGTAGAAAAGTTAATTAAGTCTCATTTTAAAACTGCCATATTTAAGTGATTTTTAGTGCCCTTCAATAGTAATTAGCTGTCCATTTTTTTTGGCACATTTGAATCTTCAAAACATACATTTGCAATATGGAGCTGCGGCTGAAATCAAAATTTGTTAATGGTTTATAGAAACGAAATATGTGGAGTGTTTTTGTCTGGGGGTTTGTCCTTGGTTTTTCAATGATTGAACGTATCAGTCGTCAACCTCTATCATGGATAAACTAACAAAATGAAGCAAACAGATGCCTTAGATTTTAACGTTTTCGTGGCAAAACAAGGATTATTTAATTACGGTATGTGTAAATGGATCCTGCTCGACTAAACCTGTTTCACAATGTGCAGTCTATCGTATCCTACGATCACATATCGTACCTACATAGGTTGAAAAAATAAAACTGATTCGTTTGAGGATTATTTGAACAAAGCAGCAAAATAGCGGTGATACACAATGACAACATATCAGGCGTGTATTTGAGATCGTTAGTGAATCCACTACGGGTAATACTTTGCAAAACCGTTACGGAACTATAACTACACCCGCCACAACGAACCTGCAGACTAAAAGCTACTTTACTTTAGTCTGACTGTGTTGTCGATAAAATATCTCCTTAAAAATGAAATATTTATTCCCTATTAGTCTATTACTATAACATTAGTTTAACGAGTTTTTATGTATGCTGCTACAGGGAAGGCTGTAAGGTGTTTTTATAGTTCAATGTTGACATTGACAGTATAGTATAAATAAATACATTTTCCAAATTTGATCAAATTTTGTTTATAAACAAGCAAACAACAACAGTTCACTCATTCTCCATAAGAGTACTCTCATAGGGCTCTGCCCTGCCTGCCTTAAAAGTTTCTACGTTATTCTTATGAATACACTTAATATTGGAATTTTCAAATGTATAACGTAATTTATTTCATTATATCGTATAAATTTATACGAAAAGTAATTTGAAAATGATCAGGCTGCTGATCTATCGAAATTGTGTTTATTTATTCGTTGGTTCTTTTCATCCAGTATATTTATGGAACATATTCTCTCTCGTTGCGAATCACGGATATAGCACGGACGTAGGGGGTGGTGAAGGAAGTAATAAAGGTGAGCAGTGTTGAGTGTGGGAATTGATTAATGTATCTGTAATGCTAAAATGTTATGGGAAGAGACTGTAGACTGTAGGTTAAAATGGTTACGAAGCACGAATCGATACATATTTTCGATATATGCAATCGTTTACGATAGAAATTTACAACTGAGTTGACAACAGCTGATTTTTACTCCATAGAGGCCTAAAAATGATTCTTACTCCCTAAAGAGTAAAAATGCTACTTAAGACCCGCAACGCATGCATTAAAAACGACTGTTTTATGTAGTATGACAAAAATAATATATTATGAACCCTTGATGATTCCGCTCAATTTTGTGGATGCTTCTGCAAACGCCACCTAGTAGTTTAAACCTACCATTGCCAAGTGGCCACCTCAGCATACAAAAGTGTCAGTCATAAAATGGCTAACATAATACTACAAGCTTTTTGGTTATTAGAATTTGTAAGAAAATTGTAGTGGAAAATATAAACTTAGTTCCAGATCATAACAGATGTTGCATTTGAGACTAAATCTTTAAGATGCTGTCTGACTTCTGGCCAATTAATCATACATTTAAATAGCTCATAATGTATTTGGAAGAATTAATAACTATTTACCACTAGGCCTTCTATTGTAGCGAGAGAAGTGTCTTGCTTGCATTTAAACACAAAAATGAACAACTTAAATAAGTAAAATTAATTATGAGATATCAGAGATTCTAAATATAAACTGGAAAATTGTTATACAAAACAATCCAAATCACTGGTTTGTATGATATTGGACACGTTTCAAATTTTACTGCAAAGATCACTTAACAAATACCATGGTGTAACGATATAATACGTCATCTGAAAACAAATGGTGACCTGTTTAGAGTAATGTTCTTCATATCAACTTTCAATTTTATCTTTACGTTATAGTTTATTTACAATCAGTGACGTGTTTTGAAATTACTTTTAGAACAATTCATTTAGTTACCAATTTTACAAATTAGTTAGTACAGATTTCTGAAACATACTAGTACTTCATCTATGCTAGTTGTCTCATCTAAAGGTACCAGTACAATCGGTACATATCTAACTCATGTCACAGACTCGCGGGTAAAAATAACTCTCTAACGGTCAAAGAATCCGAATCAGAGTGCATTATTAGTCAGTCAGTCTTAACAATGTAATTTATTTGGACGATTCTGGTCAATAAACAATAACCTGATAATCTATATAAAGAGAACCGATAATATTAGGATGAAATTATTATTTTGTATACAGTAGACCCCCTCTTAACCGACCTCGTATTAACCGATAATCGGATTATCCGCCTTTGATCGTAAAATAATACAGTTTGTTTTAACCGACCTTGCTTTGAGAGCAGCTCGGTTTAACCGCCGCTTTCTAGGAATCTCAGCATTTCCGCTCCCACGCTGGGCGATGAGAACTGAACCATACGCTTATCTCCACAGGATATGACTAACAATAAGTTATCTTGTGAAGATCACAAAAAATATAGCATAGCCTATTGTCAGTTTGTCATCATCGTACGTAGCTCGAGCACATCTGATCTGATTTGTTATCTGTGCGGCAAATTTATAACATCATAAAGTGCGTTACGATTTTGAGAACTGATTATCTTATCGCTGGAGTAAACAAACAACGCAACTTGTAGGGAGGGCAGGGAAGGGGTGTTAACAACTCCAAGGTCAAGATAGTTTTTTTGCCTCGAGCCTCCAGTGAGAGGCTATAAATAAACGTCCTGTCTTGTAACAAAATGGTCGCTTGTATCTTTAATGACGACAAAAGGTTCTGTACTGTATTACGATGTATTTGGAAAGCATTAATTATTACATTACAGTAGTAAAGTTATTGAAATAGGAATTTTATTGACTCTTGCCTAGTATTATAA